GGTGATCTATCATTAAAATGAAATTCTTTAACGATATTTTGTAGATTTAGCTATATATAATTATAACACGACTGTATAATTATATTTCAGTAAAAAACATAAAATTTTAGATGAGTACAAGCCAATAATTAAATATGATAATGGGCTTATAAAAGTTATAGAAGTAAAAACTTTAACCATATCTGCGATGATTGTCTTTCGGCCTATTGCAAGGGCATAGTAGATGTTTTTGCACCAATATCGACGTAAAATATCGTGTCAGAGATTCTGAATAAAATAACCTCCTTAGAAGTTAATTGATATTGCTATTCCAATTAATTGTCTGATAGATAAATTTCTAAAATCTACTCCAACAATAAAAAAAAAATCAATGTTGCCTTAAAGAAAATTATAATAAGCCATGTGGGCTAAGCTATTAATTCCTGTATTTCAAACATACTTATGCATATGTAGGTAATAATCCAACATTTTAACTCTATCGTTTCAACATCCTACAAACTTCTCTTTGATAGGGATCAATAGATTAAATATAAATTGTATAATGTATGATCAAAGGAAAAAGGGTAAAGAAAAAAAGGACTTCATTTTGTATTTCATATAAAATACACATGTAATTTACTATTCCATTGTCCTTTTTTGTATATTATTCTTTTATTTCTCCTCTTTGTTTTTATGAATTAGTATTCTAAACAAGATATTCCTTATTTATATACCACTTGTATTGTAATATGTAGGTCTCTATGGAAAAATAAGAATAATGATTGAAAATTATTTTTATATACTTGTTTGTAGTTCTTGTTGCTACTTTTGTTTCTCACTCATTTTTTCCTTCTCTCTCTCTCTCTACTCCTCGCTTGATGTTATTCGTTTAAGAGAATCCCTTTTCTTTCAATTTCAACAACTTCTCAAGTATGCCTCCTATTCACTTATTTCAATCAAATTATTTTCTTCTATTCTTGATTTTCTTTATTTACACAAAATACAAAAATAATATAAAATACTGTAGTTGGTCCTTCTCTAAATAATGTTAAACAAAAAAAAAAAAAAATAATTGAGTGAAATTGTTTTTATTATCCTGAAATCAATACTTTCACTTCCTTTTAAAAATATAAAAAAAATAGTAACAATAAAAGTGAAATAGAAGAACGGACAAACAATAATAAAACCTAACATGCAGAAAATCAGGAATATTAAAAGATATACGTCTGTACATACATAAAGTTGTTTGCGTTACATAAAGAAGAAGAAGGGGGAAGAAGAAGGGGGAAGAAGAAGGGGGAAGAAGATGGAGGAAAAGAAAAGGGGCAAAATGAAATTAATAATTTTAACATAAAAACTTTAATGGTTTTAATAAAACATTTGTGGCGACAACATAATTAGAAGAAAATCAAAGTGTTTACTACAGAATTGATTTCTTAGTAGCACTGTTTTTGGCACTGGTTATCAGACATTGAAATTCAAGTAAATATCGTTAAAATTATAAAATTTCCACCTTTAGTAGAGTTACCACTGTCTTTGAAAGGCAACTTTGTTGATTATGTATATTGCAAGAGAGAACTGTGTCTGATGTACTTCACGCTAGACAAAATTCTTAAATGGAATTAAAAATAATCTTGCCATAACAATCGGTTTGGTCCTAAAAGATACAGTCCTAAAAAGACCAACCGGCCGACAATCTGAATGAACTATGCTTCGTTAAAAAAAGGTGGCTTTACAGCAATTCTTCAAGACGGAGAAGTTCATATACAATTTAGTGCGATCACAATACTTTCCTTATTGTAAATACGATAACGTAAATAAAAAAAACAAATACAATAATAATGAAACTTACTATTGGTTTTTCGATAACAATTATGAAAGGATTTCGAAAGGATAACAAATTTTTTCAATAATTAATTATTATTTTTCCTATTTTTTCTTATTTCCATTAATATTCACTATCTACACAATACATATAGTATTCAATATATATTCCACATGCGTTTATATTGTTTAACATCAGACGTAGGTCATATACAGAGGCACATGTATTTATTTCTCTCTCTATATTACCATAAGAATGAGTGACTGTTATTTGTTGAATGTTTGTATAAATAAAGTTTGATTTGTGTACCCACATAATAACAGCAATCATATTATTATTATTGTTTTTTAGGTTTGTATATAATGTAAATATGTGTGAGTATACAATGTTAAAGGAAATTTTTAAGAATGTATTGAATTAAGGATCATATTGTTATGACAGTAATTATTTTAAAATATACACATGTACCAATGTATATTGAAAATGGTCAAAGGATAAGAAAATTTTTGTTTTGTCTGAATATTAATTTGTAAGCAAATATATTGATTGATTATATTAATGATGAATTAAATTGATTGATTGATTAATTAACATTAAATCAATGGAAAAATTTAACAAAAGAGAAAAAAATATATTTTTATACCTATAACATGGTTGTTTACTTGGCATAGTAAAATCAGTTTTCAATTATCATGTATGTAGGTGTAAACATTATTTTTCATATATAGATAGGCCGATTATAGTTTGCCACTGATAAACTGCAAAACAAGGCACCACAGCTATAAAAGCTTATCATAACATTTGATCACTTATAAAGACTTTGTCTGTTCCACCTTTGTTATGAAGAGCCAGATTACGTTTTCGTAACAAAACCAGTACACACAGTCTTTTATCAGCAACAATTTGGGCACATAATAGCCCTGCTCACTATAACCAGTAATAACAGCAACTGAAATTGTGGGAAGACCAGAAAAAAAAAAGGTTTTATAATAAAAAAAACTTGCTTACCTTATTTCTAATTCATAATCCCAGCCAGAATTATAGCATTAACAAGCATTCCAATGCAGTAAGAATATGGAAATATCCGGATGACTAGCTTAGCAAACATGTCTTTGACCATCAAAGCCGGCAATCCTATTTGCAGCAACCTTGGCCTCACACTTCATCGTGAAATATAATGGAGGCAAATTTATAAAAAAACTCCTTCAATATTATATGTAAATGCACCAGTGATTATCACATACGCAATCTTTGAGTTACGAAGTTGATTTATCCTGGATCTTTTTCTCCACTAAAACATTAAATCATGCATTGATCATTGGAGGAACTGTCACCAAATGCATATGATCCATCACCCTTAGATTTAAATTCCACAACTTTTCACTCAGACAGCTACACGTCAAAAAGAAATGTCTGCGCCTTCTTAAAAACTGATTCGATACAAAGATTCCATATGAGATTTTTATCAAAAGTGACCCTTAGGGACTTCACGTCTCCCAAAATGTTTATTTCCTGACCAAATACATACTAAAACCATAAAACCATAAAGTTTTCTTTTTCTAGTGAAAGGAACCACTTTGGTTTTGAAGAAGTTTTGGTCTTGCTCGTTGCACCACCACTGTGATTTTGTAAATAGTTTGCAACAAATCCGAATTTATACAGCCTTGTAATGTTTCTGTAACCTATGCTCAACAGGCTCCTTCAAATGTCCAACTATACTCCTTCAATATACTCCTTCAAATGTCCAACATTCAAAAATTTTCTAGGGACAGTTCCAAACGTAACTACGCAAAATAATGGCTACGCAGTAATAAAAAACTTATCATAAAAAATTTTTAAATTATTTTAAATTACACTCACCACTTATGTCTTACATACACCCACTTGAATGCTGAAATTATCTTGATTTGAAATCCTTCTCATTTAATATTTATGATTCCACATAAAAAACGGGAGCAAATTTAACTGAAAATATAAAAAACCTTCACTTTAAATCCTAAAAAAAAATTGTTTTATTTAATTAAAACTTAATTTTGAGTACATGAACTGAATTTCTGAATTGCAGCTATAAACGGATTTTTATGCTAAAAACAAATCTAATGAAATTAGTTACATTTTTCATTATCCTTTAATTCATTTTCCTTTTTTCTGATTTCTTTACCTCTTTGTTCTTCTTTTTTTTTTTAATTTACTTAATTTTAATACTAAATCTTCTCTTAATTTTATTTTTATTCTCCGTACTTATGCGCTTTTGGCCATTTATGAAATAAAAATTTAATACTCAAACAAATTACACTGGAACAAAAAAAAAATTCAAAATCATTGCTTTATGGAAAAAAAAATTTGCTCTTACTACACTGTTTTTCAAATGGTGAACGAATTCATTCAAAAAAAGGAGTATTGTATATTATTCCCTTGAAGTATATGCATTGCATCTGCATGTATGAATAAGTTATACAAAGGAATTTAATAGATATATTAATATAGTAGTCAAGATTGCATATAATACCAAGAGAAACTATTGCTGTTCTGTTTCATTGCTATCATAATAAGATTATAATAACGGTTATGTGACCTGTTCTAATGTTATAATTGACATTTCATAATTTGAAGTTTCGAAATTATTTCAATTTTAGAATATCTTTGTTTTCAGACTTACTCAATTCTTGTTTTTTAGAAAAAGAATCTTCAAAATAATGATAAAACGTTTAGGCAACTCAAATAATATAAGAACTTTTTCTTGGGTATAGGACCAAAAATATATGTGTATTGCCCCGTCGGCATACTAGGTAGTGTATCATCGTCGTTTTTCCGATTTCGATTCAACCCGAGCATTTGCTGTCATCTTAATGGCGGTAAGTGAATGACAGGATGGTGAAGGCCTTATAAAATTTTCCTTCAATATTTATCGAATATTTCAGTGATAGCTTATCGAGCATTGCGATTCAACTGTCTGTTTTGAATATTAAGACTGTCTTCGCTCTTTAATTTCAAGACATATGATATTATTATGAATGATTAACTATCTCATAACTGATAAGAACTTTAATGATTACCGTACCAATATTTTTATTCTGTAATGTTATTTAATAAAACAAAATTAGGTACATATAAAATTTAATATTAAATACAAAATTTTGAAATTTCTAAAATAATAATAATTTCTTTCATTCATTTTATTTTCATTTATTTACAGATAGAGCCATAAAACGTTTTTACTTCACTTCCTTACTATATGCAACCAGGTGTATGGAAACAAATTAAAGTTAAGCTAATAACAATAAAAGATTTAATATTTTTTTTAAACAAACTGAAACAAAAGTACAACTAATGGATACAACTTTATTTTTCCTGTAATTAATTTTTTTCTTTAATTTCCGTTTATAATCCAGCATTAATTTGATCATTGCAATTGCATCTGAATATTTGTGTTTAGAATATATTTATGAATTTTGTTTTCATATCGCAAACAGGACTTTTTGTTTTACTAAATTATTAACAAATGCAGTAGTTACTCTAAAAGGAGGGCACATAAATAAGGAGTAGGAATATATAAATTAAAAGAATAAAACTTTTGAATCATATTCTTTGTTCAAGAAGAATAAAATGTACAAAAGAAACATCTACATACATATTTAAAAATCCAGAGTTGGAAATCTTGAAAAGAACAACTTTAAAAAAAAAAAAAATAAATCATACCAAAAAGAACACTTCATTTTCTAAGAAATTAATTGTGAAAAGTTGCTGATTCCAGTTAAAGAATTATTTTGCATCTAAAAGATCATTTGGTAATGAATTGAAATTGAAATGATAATTATCAAAACACAAATCTTATCTTACTACATCATACATTAATTTAGTTATATAATTATTTTCTTCAAAATTTTTAATTACTTTTTCAAAACCAATTACGAATTATACAACAAATAGTTAATAAAATTTCAAAATAGTTCCTGAATTATTTATGCTGTTACAAGAATTATCGTCCTTCAAATAACAAACTAAACACATTTATTGTACATTCAAAATTAGAAACTTATCATTACAGTATAAAAATCCAGCAAACCTCTATAAACAACAGCAAAATACTACGTATATATATAGTTCCTAATAGGAGAGAAAAAATTTATTACAACAGTTCCAAAAAGCAAGTACTACATAAGATAAGAAATATAAATATGAGGTACAACATTAAATATTTTAAAATATTTTTGTATTTAAAGTGAATCGAGAACAAGATACCGGATTATAAATAAAATATATTTGAAATATAAAATACATATGAGAAATAATATGCAGTTACACCCATAGGATGAAATAGAAAGGACAATAGAGAGGGCAAACAAACCAAAAAATATAATAATATTCCTGGAAAATTGATCGCTTTCCTAAAATTATCCTTCAGCTTACCTACTTTTTAAATTTTTGTTAAAAATTCATACGTTATTTTGCACCCAAAATGTACAATAACCACAATATATATGCATTCATATATAAAAAGCATATAATATAAATGAGTAAATAAGAATAACAACAGGATAATAAGGATAATACATCATAAATAATATTAAAATATTTTTGTAATATAAATTATATAGAGTTTTAAAAATATTATTCAAGTACATATAATTTTTATCATAGAAAATATATTTTTGGACACAACGCCAAAACATTTTGGACTTCATATTATATAAAAAAAAAAAAAAATTTATTATAATCACACATTTTGGATATCGTGATTTTAGAAAATTATATACAAGATACACAAAATAAATTTGTGGTTTTTTTCCACCAATAAAACTGTGAATGATAATAATAAAAAAAAATATTTAATGTTATTAGATAAATTAGATCCTTAAATATTATTATTGTAAATTATCCTTGAGAATTTTATTATTAAAAATATTAAAAAATTTAGTGTAATTGGTTCACATACAAATTATATGACTTTTTTGTTTTAAAATATTTTACGGTTTTAAGTTTTATTATACAAAGACAACCCTATAAATATATATATGTATATATTTATAAGAGAAATAAATTAAAATTTTAACTGCATTGAATTCATAAAGTATTAACCAGGAATACAAGTTTAAATGGATTTTTTTGTAATACATAAAAATTATCCTTGTTTTTAATTTTTAATAAAAATTATATAAATTAGGCAAAACAAATAATAACAATTATACAAAAATAATTATTAATTTTTGCTTTTTTTTTTTTATTTTTCCAAATTAATTATTAAAATATATCGGATACATCGATTTAGACCATAAATCAAAAATTTAATATTTAAAATATCATAAAAAAAAAACATTCAAAATGTATGAAAATTTGAGTATTTATTTGGGTGTAAATAATATTGGTGGCTCTAGTATTATTTTAAATAACAATAATATTAATAATAATAATATGAACACAAATTTAAGTAATATTAATAACAATAATATAAATAATATAACAACAACATATTATAGTAATTTAACATTAGAAGAATTTAATCCATGGTCAGTTGAAAAAGTTGTATCAATGGTTGTGCCTGTATTTTTTGGTATTATCGGTTTAGCTGGATTATTAGGAAATGCATTAGTTATATTAGGTAAGTGGGTAAATAAATACATATATTTTATTAAATTATTTAAAAATATTTTTGAACTTCTTATTTATTGTAATTACCTACAACCCTATATTAATGGTACAGGCACATTTTAAAAAAATATTATCATTTTGTTTTTATATAACGATATATAAATTCGCGACCAATTTATTATTAACTATATTACTTTTTTGAAAGCTTATTTTTATTAGTTTCAAAATTTTGAAGTTGAAAAATTAAATATATTATAGTAACATCTTAACCTTAATCAGTTAAAAATATTGACGATTAGTAATGATAAATCACATTGTTATTCAGTTTTAAACTATGGGAAACCCCGGTTCCTTTGTATGTCGAATTGATTTTAAATATAACATTTATCAAAAATAAAGAGGAATTTAATTATCATAGAATACGTTAGTAGGATTACAAAATCATTTTTACTTACGTGTGTTAACCGCTTTCAAATTTTGAATTATTTATTACTTAATCTTTTATTTGTAATTGAACCGGCAAGTTTTTATTCCAAATCCTGCTTCCAAAATCAAAAAAAAACTTGAAAATTTCACTCATTTTAATTCCAATTTATACACATTTTATTTCGATACTGGTGCCAAGACTTGGTCCTAATTGACCCCAGAGCTTTATACTAATTTTTAGCTTTGTAACGTGCCATCAAAAAAACATTTTCCAATCCAGACCATCGAAACTACACGAAAAATTTGCTGCTATGCTAAAATTATAAAATTTTTCTCTATAAAACCAACGTATTTTAGTATCCCAACTACTTAAAATAATTAAAGTGCTAATTACCTTCTCTTAAAATCTCATAGTAGGATTTTAGATGCTTCATATATTGTTAATTTGATTATAGCTTCTTTAAAATCTTATAATTTGATCTTTTTCCAAATTATTGCTTCCAAATCTTATAAAATAGATAAAAGTCCCAAAAAATTTCCGTTGAATTTTTAATTTATTTAATTTTTTTTATCCTACATGCGTAAATTTCAAATACAATTTTATTCCATATAACAGCCACATGTACATAAGCGACATTTCTCCAATTACAATATTTTTACAGTTCTATAATCATGTTGTTTATTCTGAAATATGACCACGCGCTTTTATTCACAATAATAATTTTAATGGAATATATTTATATGTCAAAAAAATTCCATCAATCAACTATGATTTTTTGAAATATTTATTAGAAAATTATTATTATATGAATTTTGATTTATATAAATTATGAAAATAATATATTTTTTTAAAATACTACAAAATTTCCTTCCTAAAAATGTGCATATATGTTATGTATTTTATCAATGGCAATGATGTAATTTGAATATTAAAAACACAAGAAAAATTTATTTAAACTTCAATATTTTTACGAATGACTTAACAATTAAAATATTGTCATTGGTTTATATTAAAAATAAATATGTAAATTTATTTTTTTGGAAAATACAATAAATTTAATATAAATCAATCATGAATCATAAATAATTCTACAGGAGAAGGGACTTTTATAATATAGTAAAATGACTGGAAAATCATAAACTAATTCAAATGTTATAATAATTCAAGGATACATAACAGATTTTTTACAACTTTTTGAAATATAGTAATAACTATTATACTACAATTACAGCACACCCGCAATTAGTTTTATGTTCCACAAAAGCCATTATAATAAAGTCTTACATCGAGCTTATAAAATTAATATGTTTCCTATTAACAAAATTTTTAGTTAATTTTTATTTTAAAGTCAAAAATTTAGGTCACTATTTTATCTAAAACATTCAAAATAATTTAATTTTGTACAAAACATTTTGATTTAATTATTTTTTAAAATCTTGTATTTTGATAAAACCTCGGATACAAAAAGAAAAATATTTGCATTTATATTTTTTAAATATTCAAAAATATGATACAATAATTTTCACCTGAATTATTTCATGTATTTTAAAATCAAATAAAATAGAAATATTCTAAAAAGAATGCAAATATTCTCAACAATAAATAACATATTTTAACAATAACATTAAACAATAAAATTCTTCCTTTATTGTTAAAGCCAAATTTGTTGAAAATTTAAGCAAGCAAACAAAATAAAATAAATATTTTGTTATAATTTAAAAATTTCATAAAAATTAATCATAAATTTTAAGTTCAATTCTTTGGAATTACATTAAATACATATTTTTTTGAGTTTATGATTAATGAAAATTTGAAAATATCCAAATTTATTAATAAAATTACTTTATACCTTTTTTTGTTCAATTAAATTGAAGCATTAGTGTTTTTATTTGATGCTTATTCTTCAGAGCACAATTTATTGTGAATTGATTAAGTGAATACTAGATGCCGTGTATGTATAGTGGACATATTATAATGATCTCATTTAATTATGTGTAAAAAATCAATGAAAAATAATTTCCGTCTTACTTGTTCACATTAATATTATTTTATTGTATTGTGAATTCAATAAGATTTAAATGTGATTTAGTGGCTTGTTTCCACCTTATTAGTTTTATTCTAAGAAATCCATTAGAGATGGTCTGATATTTCGACATTAACTTATGGTAACACACCAGTATATTTTTATATACATATGTATATGTATGTAGTTTGTATGGAAATTTTTAACATCTCTAGTTGTGCAGCTTTTTTGGCTACAGCTTATTTTTTATGTTCCACCCTTTATATGATAGTTACCAGTAGATTTCTTACTTATTTTTAATTCGACCCAGCCTGAACAATTGCTTTCCTTCATCTGCAACAATTGTATCTGAATCGAGTTAGAAATCGTTTATTTTTTCCTTTCCTTCTTAAGTTATAATTTTTAAATTTTTAGTTTTCTTTTATTTTCAGCTTTAAATAGTATAATTTTTATTAATTTATGTTTCACGTATGTATGTAGTTTTTACATCAACAATTTAGCCGTTATTTCTTTTCTGGTCCCATTTTCAAAAATGAATTTGACACCTGACAGAACTACTACACTTTAAAAATTCTTTTTGAAATGACATTTGATATTAAGTCAAGTACAAATTATTATCTTAAAGCTATGTTTGAACATTACAAACTCTTAAAAATTACTTATTAATGGAATTCCTTACGTATTAAATGTCAACATTCAATAATAATTGTAGATTACTCCGTCATAGAAGTAATCTTTTACAAAATCCACCTGTAATAGTAGGTTACTTCATTGATATTTAATTTTGGAATGCTCTCCTGATCTTTTAAGGTTTAATTTTTTTATGCAATTGTGATAACAATCCAAAATTATGCTTTTAAAGAAAAAGTCCTTACACAATTCCAAATTGTGTTGGAATTTCCACTATTAGTGTGACCTAATATTGTAACACTTACAAGAGGGGTATACTTCACTTATGTGTTCATTCAAAACTTAAGACCATTGAATTACAATGACTTTTTTTCAAACAACAAGTGAACTGAAAACAATTACGAGTACATAAAAAACAAAATTGAAAATTTTTCAGAAAATAAAATTTAAATATTTTTATACGTTTTCTGCCTGTTTTGTTTTTTTTTCGGTGGAACTTCATAAGAACAAAGCAACAAAAAAAAAATCTTGTTAGCAGCCTCCCACTCAAAAAAATTTTGAATTTCACTTTCTCGTTTATTAAAATATTTTTGTATCCTTAATATATTTATGATAGTATTTTTATATTATATATGTGCGTTTATTTTTAATATTTTGTGAATACCATTATAATATTTAAATAATTCTAATAATATTTTTCTATTTCATTATTTTGCAAATAAAATTATTTTTAATAAAATAGAAATATTATTTGAATATAACCTTCAAATACTATGAAATTTCTAAAAAAAAAGAATGTTATCCTTAATATTGTATACAAATAAATTTTGTTTTAAATTATATTAATATTGTTTATATGGGAGTTGAAGACTGAGGGAAGTATAGAGAATCATTTACTGTGAAGAAGCTGAATAAAATTTTCATATCAATAAAAATATTATCCAAAAATAAAGGAAAGAAAAAATAATTTAGAATTGTTATGGCAAACGGATGGTAGATTTTCAATAATAATAATAATGTTTTCGAGGAAGGCATCATACTATACAATGCCTTCCATCTAAAAATTAAATGACATTTTGACAATTTCATTTTGATTATTTAATAAGTTCCAAGAAAATAATCTCTAAAAAATATAAATAAAATATGTATGTATGTCTATATACATAATGAAGATAAAATTTTTATTTTTATATTTTTGATTATTCTTTAAATTTTAGAGTATGTGCCAATGTGCCAGATCTATGGATCACCTGAGTATTTCTAACCCCCACATAATATTTATTAAAATTTAAGAATAGAAAATCTGTCCAGCATATACATACTTATTTGCTAAAAAACAGGATACAATACTTTGAATCAACATTTTAATATCTTACTTAGGAAAATCGAAGCCATTTATAAAGGATCTTTTAAATTTTGCATTAAGTACGTGATTGCATACTTATAATTAAGCAGAAGTTAAATCGAAAATGACAGCGAAAATAAACTCTCAAAGGTACTAACACTTTGCCAATAACATAATGATTTTCTTAACTCATTTTAAAGCAAAATTCCACAATTTATATTTAAAATTTCTACATTTTACACAAAAATTATACGGCTATAAATATAATTAATTCTTAAATAATTTTTTTTAAATATCCTGATGTAAAGAAAACAAAATGAAAAATCTTTTCAACAATGTCATTTTATAAAATGTATAACAACACTATTTGACATGTTTTTTGCTCATTTAAATTATACGCCCTCTATATAATTATTCGGTGTTACTTTTAAGAATATTTTCCAACTGATTTAAGAATTAATTATAATACTTAAATATTTAATTAAAATTACAGTGATTTTTAAACTTTATATAACTTCTTATTGATAAAAAATTGCTCATATTATTTCTGAATTTATTTCCCACCGTTATTTCAGAAATTTACAA